AAATTTGGACCACTGATTTTGAAGTGATAAAATTCAGGACCCCCATCATTATGTCCCCAAGGCATTCTGTTCTGCCCTACCCTCACCCTTTAAGAAGGTCATCATTAAACATTTTTACTAAAACCATACAAGCTGCAACACTTCCATGAGTAGTCCTATAAGTTTTAATGAGTTCGTCAACTGGTAAAACATTTTTGAGTTGTTCCAGTGTCTGACCACCCTCTCAGTAAAGACATGCTGCCTGATGTCCAGGCTAATCCTCCCCTGGTGCAGCTTTGAGCCATCCCCACGTGCCCTGGCACTGGGTCCCAGGGAGAAGAGCTCAGCACCCCCCTCTCCACATCCCCTCCTCAGGGAGCTGCAGAGAGCAATGCGGTCGCCCCCCAGCCTCCTTCTCTCCAAACCAGACAAGTCCAAAGCCCTTGGCCACTCCTCACAGGACATGCCTTCCAGCTCATACTATTCATATCGAAGTAAGTATGACATGTTCATTACACTTTCATACACATTTATTGTCACTTGAAACAGATGATGGCAAATTGTGTGTTTTTCTGCTTCTATTCAGATCAGAAGACTACAGTGCCTTGGCATGGCTGCGTTGTCACACAACAGCCCTTAAGACCGTGATATTTCATCATCAGAGTACAACCCTTCAGTACATACCCAAACTGAAACACAACCAATAAGCTTACTCAAACTTTAATATTCTCTGTGGTAGTGCCACTGTGAACTGCTTTTATAGCAATAGCACATCACATTAAATCCCTTTTTAAGTCCTTTGTTGAAGAAAAAGCAACAGCTCTAGTAATAGATTCAGGGCTACAGCCTTGAAATTATTAGTTTTCCAGCTGGAAGAATTTGGGTTTGGATGTTTTGTACCTTAACATGTGCTTGCACATCCTACATCTTCTGTTTCCAAAGAAAATAGTTATTAATTTTGTCAGCCCTTAGTGCCAGTTTCCAACTGTATTCCATGGACTATAAGCAATCTACTCTCCAGTACAGATTGCTTCACCCTGTGCAGTATCTACTACAGTCTTATAATCCAAAGGGAAGATGAACAGAAGCAGGAGTCACAATTTGGAAGCACCCCTGCAACCAGCATAATTATTTTAACTACTTTTTCCTGACACAAGCAAACAAAAATGCCCAACCAATACTGTTGCATAGTCACATAAAATTAGTTTACAGATGTGTACAAAAACCTGCCGTCTTTTCCAGAAGAACTGCACTAAAACATGAGACACAATATTCCTGGAGTCTAAAGGTGGAAGAATTGGACGGGATCTGACTTACATTTCACTGCACCTGAAAACTTGCCTGACTAGTTAATACTGGAATATTACAATGCCATATGTGATCAGATAAGGAGATTCACAAAAATTAGCTAAAACGTTCAAATATGGTTCTTTGATCAAGAAAAATGCTGAATAGTTGAAAACTTTGCATTCTAAAACAACTACCAGAGTTGCTAGTGGGAACCTTAAAAATCAGAATTTACTGTATCGTTTTCAGTAAGTGGAGGATTTTAAAGTCAGTGTTCCATGAACTGCCTGAGGTTTTAGATCTTTTTTTTACTAAGTTATCACTATAGTTTGGACATGTTTGATTTTCTTAAAAATGAAACTTAGAACTCTGTGCAAGTGTAACAGAAGACATATTTTATATTGACTGCAATTAGCAACTTAAACTAAAGCCATTTCCAGATTCTTCTCTGAGAGACATACAGAAACTGAATTGTGATCACTTTAATGACGGACAGCAAAAACTACTTTCCTTATACAGGGATTACACAGGCATGAGAAACATTTTTCTTTGAGGATCCAAAACACCTTTATAAATATTATGTCCATTCCTCTAGCTCTGTTTCAAAGGCTTGAAAAGTTTACTCAGTGTGATCGATAGCAAACATTAGCCTCATGTATGCAAACAAATGCAGACAGATGGCACATCCAGCTGCTGAAAAACTGCAGAAGAGTTCTATAAAAATGCCATCCCCAAAAATCTTTTTAGGAATATCAATCACCACTTCAAGAAACAAGTACATGTAAAGTTATAACTTCAATTCACTTTCTTTTAATTCAAAGTGTCCTCTGTGATTGATTTAAAATAAACTTATGGTTACGTAATTCTGCTTCTCCAACCATGTCCTATAATGGAATTCACATTTTGAAGCCTTGGTTTCACCGAAAGTGTGGACGGAACCCTCAGAATTCTTTTCAGTCACTCCAAAAATAAATCTGTCAACTGAACAATGTAAAGGAAAAGAAGCCGCTATGTCAGAAAAGAAAAATTCTCATTTGACAATCCCAAACTCTTCAGGAAGAATGTGAATCCTACTGTACATTAAGTCTAGATACTATGTTATTCTACATTAAGAAAATTACAAACCACTTTATTCCTTTCTGTAAAAATAGCACTACTTCTGGAGACTCCGGTCTGAAGAGCAGGCACCATTGCTTAAGGGACACAAAGCAGTAATGGAACATCAAGTTTGCAATAGGCCTTATGAGAACAGCTAAATCCAACTTTAAAATTTAAACTATTTATTTTTTACTATCACAAGTAAGAGTTACTTCCACGTAAGTCTTTGTAAGTGTAAGATAACCAAAAGAGAAAAACAACCCTCCCCTTGAATTTCTGATGCATTATTATGATTATAAATATCATAGTAACAAAGTAGTGGAATTTAACAGATGTTAAAATACCATGTCTGAAAGTCACCTTGCAACACTTTTTAGTTAATCTACCACTTACAATGCACCTAAAGGTAGATTTAGTCTGCACGACTTAAAATTGACACTGCCTACAGCCTGAAACCTCTAGTGTGCTAGCGAAAAAGCTCCACATAAAAGAAAAAACATAGCTGAAAAAGTATCGAGATTGGCTTAACAGGAGTTTTCCCCTCCATTATTATATCAAATTAGTTCTACATAAGCAGAAAGAACTTTCTTGCAAGGGCATTTAAGTGTCAAAAACTGCACAAATGGACAACAGCAGATGACAAAACATACAAGCATATCAGACCATCACAGACTGAACCAGCCACCTTGTGAACCTGAACGGACTCAAATGAACGTGGGTAAGAAGGTATTGTGATTTTTACATTTAAAGATTCACAAAAAGCTTGTTTCTATCGTACCACAAACTTTTTTTCCATTTGGTATTGCAAGCTTTCCTGGAAGTTGGTTTTCAGTAAGCCAGGAGGAATCAAGCCAACTGCTCAGATACACACCATACTTAGATGTCTTAGCAGTTCTGTAAACATTTGGAGAATGCCAGTTATTGCCCTTATGACTGCAATCCAATTCTTCCTCTGGACCAGAAATATGCATTATAGCATAACTGTATTTTGGCACCTACAAATCTATGTAGCTATCATCATCCTGAACATCAGCCTGACACCACAGAAACAGCTAACATTGTCTAGACAACGTATATTCTTCACCAAGCTCTGGCAATATTTGCGTCAATTGGAAAGAAACGTGAAGGAGCTGGTCTAATAGTCTGTGAATTCAAAGACATGCAGAAAACAATCAAGGAGCATATAATTAAATGCAAAAGTACTTAAACTGCATGGCGAGTTCTAGTGAGGCACTGACTGATCAGTATGTCTCAAAATCCTTCTGGAGGTTTAGGTATGAACATCACAGATGTAAATGCGTCACCAGGTATACTCAGCTCTCAATCATTCCTATCTCTAGATAGAATTAAACTGGAAGGAAGCCTTAAACTTAGCTTTAGCAATGGTCAGAATAAAGATTTGGATAAAAACATGTCCAAAGGTGACAGACTCTATTTTAATGTCTACTGTCTCAATCAGGTGTGTACAAAACCCACCTACCTCCTCAGATGAGCTACAGTAAAATACCATCTCGGCTTTAGGGTGGAAGGAATCAGCATGTGGAGGCTGTGATGCTAACAGACTAACAGCAGAAGGCATTACTGGTGAAGCTATTCACAAAGACGTGTTGAAGCACACAGCACAGAAGTTACCCTACTTGTCTCCTTTATTTAACTGTCTTCCTCTCAAAATAGCATAAATTACACTTACACCTCTCTAAGAGGTTCTGGAAAAGGCTCTGGGATTAGTTACTATTCATCAAGCATCCAGGCCTCACCTGTTTGACCACTGCTGTGATTTTCTTCTTTCAAAATCCTACCAGCACGGAGTTCACTACTGCACTTGTTAACAGACATCATCTACCCTGCAAACTCCGTTTGAAAATGGTCAGCAGTCTGCTGCTGGTATTAGTGACTGAGAAAGTGACATCCCAGACAGAAAAACGATTAAGTACTAGAACACTAGCACTGTTACTTAGACAATCAAGCCATGTATATGGAGGCACTCACACCAAAGTCGTAAGTTGAAGAAATGTATGCAGAAGAGCAAAATCTGAATATCAGAAGAAAGCAAAACAGCCAGAAAGCACCGAGAACAAAAGCAATTAAGCAAGTCTACAGAAACAGGTGTTTAAGCACTGTGACAAAAACTACCCAAAGCTCCATTGAATTGCTTCTGTAAAATGACAATAAATGCATTCATGACGTGTAGTTGGTTGGCAAAAATAATTGCTAAAATAGGAAAGTAAAATTGCTTACAAGATATAGTCTCCTGAGAATAACCAAAGCTGCAGAGAGTTCATCAAGGGACTATCCCAGAGAAGGTTAAGCTCACTTGTTGGGGTATCAAGGGGATAAAGTCAGTCCTATTATATGAGAAACCTCAAAACCTAAAGTGTTTAAAGACAAGATTTATAGAAGATATTTCAGATGCCTGAAGATTCAGATAGATTTTCAGAAATACTTCAACACCTAACTCCATTTATAGTAAGAGATATTGGGCACACAGGCACCGCTGAGAAGTCAGACTAGATATTTAAGCACAACTTAAGATTCTGAACATCTGAAAACCTGGCCGTGCAGTCTGGCCTCAGTAGTGGAGGAGCAGACAAATCATAACCAAGATTTCCAAACCTCTGGGCTAGAGAACTACTCACAAGGTTCTTCCTGTTGACAGGGCTATCAATTTTCTGGTGCGGGGAAGGAAGGCTCCTGTCGTTCCTCTAAACTACTTTTAAAATCCCCTTTTGTAGGAACCCTAAAGTCCCATCGCTAAGAACAGGCCCCACAGCACACGCATACCAACACTGGTGGGCTGCAGCCGTGGCCCAGGTAAAGGGCCTGGGCCTGGGGGCACCACCGGAGCGCTCAGGCCGCGCAGGGGCAAACCACCTGCAGCAACCGCCGCAGCCAGGCCCTGCCGCCGCCGGCACCCGGCCAGCCCCACGCCCCGCAGCCGCGGTGCGTGGAAGGGAACGGAAGGGAGGGCGGCGAACCAGCGCCAGCCTCCCGCTCCCAGGCTTACCCGGCGCGGGTGGGCGGCGGGCGGCTTCTCCCTCCCCCCTTTCCACCTCAGCCCGCTCCGCCGCCGCCCGTGACCGGAGAGACCCCGCGGCCGCCAGCCGCCCCGCCGCGGGAAAACCACGCGCGGACACCCCAGCCCGCGCGGCCTCACCCGGATGTGGATTTTTCACGCCGCTCACTCCCCCCGCCCCCTCCCCCCACACACACACACCCCCCCAGAGCCCTCCCCTCCCCGGCGCCCCGCGGGTCACGTGGCGCCGGCCCCGCACGCGCGCGTGGGGAGCCGGCGGTCGCTGATTGGGTGCCGGCGGGGGCGGGGCCGCGGGAGGAGGCGCGCTCCCGGTGCCGGGCCGCGGGAACCGCCGCAGCCGCCGCGCGGGGCCCAGCGCCGGCCTACGGGGCGTCCCCGGCGGCGGCTGCCTCGCGGGGGGGTGGTTGGTCATCTTCGGACGGGTCCCCGGCAGCCACGGCGCCTCATTGTGCCTTACCGGGCCAGTCACGGAAACCCGACGCCTCTGGGAATCGCCGGCTGGCGCCGGTCGCGGAGCAGCCCCGGGCCCCGGATGGAGCCTGTCCCTCACGGCCTTGGGTTCTGCAGTCAAAACGGGGTTGCTCGCCTTGCCGGCGTGGTGACCCTGGGCTCGTAAGCTCAGGCTTCGTCCTCAGCAGCAGCATGTTCAGTGGGCAGCAGCTACCGCCCTTCTGCGTCACCACAGAAAATGAATCGAGAATTGACTGGACAGTGAAGATCAAACCACCTCCCTGTCTGGAGAGACGATATGCCTTGGGGCAGTTCTCTCCGTGGTTGCTGTAAGGTGCTGAGAGGACATGACATAGTGGCAAAGTTGAGGTGGCGCATCCAAGTCACAAATGACATACCGGAGTGTGATGACCTGGGGAAACTTAACTGGTTATTTTCACTATTTAACCTATTCTGTGGACAAAACAGTTTCCATATCTAATAGAATCAATACTTATTTAATGAACAGTGCATTGAAGGATGTAGAATTAGAAAGATTAAGCATTATGGCACTGAAATAGTACATTGCAGTAGTTTCCATACTTCACAGTACACGAAGAAACAAGATACGATGGTTTAGGCAATAAGTCCTATTACACCTGACTGCAGTGTTCCCAAAGATAGCTATAGAACTTTTTTTTTATAAATAACATATACACCTCTATCAGCCTTTTTTTTCAAGTTATGCCATGCATTTAAAAAAAAAAAAAAAAAAAAAGACGTGTGCCTAAAGTTGAAAGTTTGATGGACATGTCTGAAATCCTCATCCTCATCAGACAAAACAATTCTAAGGGCTCTTGTTTTCTTCATTAATCTTCCACAGCAATATTATCCCAGCTAAAGACCACTATATAGGTCAGTCAGATGGTAGAGTTTCTACTTGGATGTACAAAGGGAAAAAATCTTCTTAAGAGAACCTTTTGAATATTCTATATTAACACATGGACATTCAAGAAGTTCTGTGAAGTTTTAGTCAGGACTTATCATCTCATGGGTTTCTGTAATACTAAAAGTGAATTCAAATTCTCAGGACTTAAGGAGATCCTCTCCAGAATGGTGTTCAAACATGCTTTTGAGCCAAGACTGCCTGGTCCTGTTTTGTTAATAAACAAGTTTTCACTTTTTTTGACTATCAAGATATTATTCTCTTTGTACAGATAAATGCAAATTTCTATTTCTTGTTACTGAAGGCAGTAATCCTTAAGTGTTATGTTTATAATGAACGTATTCTGTTTTGACACTGCAACATGTTCCTTTTATTTTTTAAAGTTTGCCATGCTGTTTTCGCAGAAGGAATAAGCATATTCCGGGAAAAAAGCCAAGAAAAAGTAGCTCTTACCAACCTAAATTAGGTAATTACATTTTCACTGTGTTTTTAAAGCACAGCTGTATCTTTTGGGTTATGTGAATTAATATATAATAAACTTAACTTTATACTTTTCTTCTTATGTAAGGGAAAATGTCCCTTCAAAATGCAGACTTGTCTAATTAGCTCATTTTCTCTGTTTTGAAAATCAGTAAAAGTAAATGCATTGTTTCTTACAATTTATTATTATTTTTCCCAAGTTTAATGGTTTATAGTGACCATTAGCAGACATTTCTTACTTATTTCTGTGTCAGAATTTGGTAGATGACAAAAAAATGAAATCACTTTTGTTTTGATTTTCCACTAAAATTATTGCATTAGTATCGTGTCTCAATACTTTTCAATACTATTTCAATGACAGGTAATAAGTATCAATGAGAGATGACATACAGTTACTCAGTTTTCTCTGTGCTAAGAAAATGACAGCACCAATGCCATTCTCTCAGTAACTGAAGAAGACTGATAAAAATGGTGCTGTGATTTTGTTAGGTAGATACGCAGTAAAATTGCAATATCTCAGAGTTTCTTGAAGCTTAGAATCTAAATAGTCACTAATATTCTAAGACTTTTTCAGTATCTGTAAAAATTGGGTATGCAACTTCTATGCGCATGTATAGTAAACTAATACTGGTCTAGAAAACAAATTCATAAACTATTAAGTGTAAGTTTCCTTAATTTAAAGTGCTCAAAAATTTCTTAAAATGGTATGGAAAAGTATCTTCTATCCTTAATTCAGGTATCAGCATCACAAGAAAGGAAAGTGTCCCTAGCATACTAAAACAGTTCCAAAAATAAAACAAATATTAAGGTTTTTCATGTACGATAGTGTTTAGCTTGTCCAAAAATCAATTTCAACATCAATTTGCACAATTCAGATTTTTGTAACACAAGCCTCTATTTCTGGTTGGTTTGGGTTGGTCTTTTTTTTTTTTTCCCAAATTAACTCAAGTGGGAAAAGTTCTTTAAGTCTATAATTTTCTAAATATCTGTATTTTATGGTTTCCTTGGGGTCTGATGTGGTTTTGTTTTGATAATCATCTTCCCTGCTGAGTTGCCACACTGTAGCCCTTGAAATACGCTGCTATTGGTGAATCTACTTGAACTTTGAATTCGGCTGACCTGTCTCAAGGCACTTGTTGATGAATGTTTAAAATCTCTCTGGATAATGCCCCTTATATTTTAGGAGAATTTCCTATTGTAGTGCACCCCAAGGAAACAGAACAAAAATTTTCTTACTGTCTAACACTGTGGTTCATTGAATGCCTCCATTCGGACAGTATAAATTGTTGGCATTCTTCTGAAGTATTACTGATTCTTGACAGCCACCATATTGTGGGAAACTAGAGGATGAAGAAACAAAAGGAAACAAGAACAGACACATTCCCTGAAGCCTGAAATGGGTAATTTAATAAACGTAAATTCAGCAAGTAAAGAAGAAGCAAGAGGAAACACATTGTAAGCTATATACTGATTACAGGTTTTGAAAGGCATCAGGAAGTAGGAGCTGTATAGGAGTCTTCTATTTTGTTTTAAGATTGAATGTAGCAATTAGCAAAATGTTGATTGTTTGGTAGCTGTACTCAATTTTAAACTATGTTTCTCTCTAGAATTTTATGAAATATGAAAAAAGACCTTTCGTAATACTTAGATTAATGAAAAACAGAAAGCCCAGTATAATTGCACCCAAAATAGTTTGAACCAATCTAAGACCAAAAACTTCTTAATTTGGGCTGAATGTTATTGTTATGTCTCCTAGAGAGCAAAGTTTATAGAGATTCCTGTCAGTTCTGGAACTTTTTTTTTTAATTGATTCAGCCTTACATGGTAACATTAGGTGGTTATAAATAAGTGGGTAATACCACCCTTCAGTATAGCAGTTTGTGTGGTATGAAGCCAGTCATATTTGTGGGTCTTCCAAATCAAACAATGTTTGTAATGTTATTGGACTGGATGCTTTTTTAAATCTTTGTAGAGAAATAAGAAAAACTCTGTTGAACAAACATGATTTATAAAGTATATATTGATTGATTGAACACTGTTAAATGCTATCATTAACCTAAGGAGCTGACTGAGGGAAATTGGTGATATAATTGACAACAAAATGAAGTATTCACTTTTCTTATTCTGAAGCAGATAGAGACAATGAGTCATAAAAAAGTAAACTTCTTTACATGAAAAATTACCACTATTTAGTACTGTGTCATTCAATACTTTCAAACACAGTCAAGGCCTATAGCATCTAAAGTCTTTATAATCTGTTGTCCGGTGATCAGCAGAAAAGAATGGACCAAGTTCAGCTTGTTAGCAAACTATCGTCTCTTTGATAAGAACCAACATAATCTCTCTTTCTTTTGGTCAATATTAGGAGCAAGATCCAAACAGTTAACCAGTTTGAATGGGCAGGAGAAGAAAATACTGTGTCAACCCTGAAACTAGCCATCACGTGTAGAATAATTCAGTCTGTTTCATCAACTTAAGTCCCTTATTTGTCCTATATTGAGGTCACTACTCCCATCACCACCTAGTTCAGTCCTCACTGGTATTACCACAACTGGCAATAAAGCAAAAAGCATATTTGTTGCTAGACCACAATCTGCCTGCTTAGAATTCTGCCACCCTTTTCTACCCACAAAAAGCCCCACAGTCAAAGCATACTACACTTATTTGTCTTTTAAGGTTTTATGGGAAAAATCATGGTATAGAAATTATAATGATTTCCTTTCAACAAAATTTATTAAAAAGTAGGCATTCAGAACTCCTTCTGTTAAACAAAACCTTGCCATAGAGTACCTTTTTTTCCCAACCTATTGTAATATATTTCTTCTTTTGGATGACAACAGCAGAACCCAGAGGCCAAGTGCTAAAGTATTTTTTCCCATTTATAGAATCTGTCTATTGGCAGACTCTTTATGCAGTTACAGGCAGAAATGGAAAGTTTTCCCCAGGTTCATCAAATAGGCATCCTGATAAAGTATTGTATTGTACTTGCCATCTCAAGTCATGCAATCCTGTGCATGCAGTGAATTAGTAGTATCCACCTTACTAACTTTTTCTAATTCTTACAGCTATTATGTATCTAAATAGACCCTGGACTAGGTAAGCTGGTGTTTTTCTGGGTTGGGTGTTTTTGCTGTAAATATTTGGTCTTGCTGTTTTTTAAAACCTATGGAAGTACTTTTGAGTTTGCAATCAGTG